GAGGGTGGCTCACTGCTCGGGAGAAAGGTACGCCCGTCAGATCAAAGTCTTGAACCACGTTTTTTTTTTCCCCTTATGATCGCTTTTAACTTTGCTAATAACCTACCGGAAAACTTCTAACTCATACAGTGCAAAGCCCTAATTGTAGACCTGTCGCAGCTCAGGTTTCATCAAAACAGGAGTAATAGTACCGGAACTATTTCGTGACCAAAATTAATCCTAATCACTAAAAAGATTAATTTGGTAACATCACCTCACAAATGAATTCAAATTTTGTCCGCTTAATATATCAATAAACAGCACCCCATAGGCTAATCGGAGGCCCAACTCCGTACTCTTAGACCCTTAATTAAGGAGGTAATCAGCAGAAATCTCATTTCATTAAAACATTTTTATAAAAACAACCACAAACTTGACTGATACACCACTGAAAACTACATTTAGAACATATCAATCCGGGTACGGCGATGGCATAGTGGTTAGAGCATCCGCCTCGCATACAAGAGGTCCGTGGCTCAAATCCCGGTGCCGCGCAGTTCCCAACCGGAAAAAAAAAAAAATCCGCATGTTGATGGAACTGCATTAAGAGGCCCGAGGTGCGGCCTCACCGGTAACCACCGCCGGGAACGCACTCCCTTACCAGAGAAGGATTGGCCACCCTGGTGCAGTATCTGGCCACTACCTCCCACATGCATACGTCAAATAACTCACGGCCCTCAGCTCACAGCAGCTGCGAAGCAACTGACCATGGCGGCGGTCAGATCTGCAACGCAGCAGAGGGTGCTAAGAATCTCTGGACTACAGGCCGCCTTTGGAACCTGAACTTGGCAACGTTTAACGCTAGAACCTTATCTAGTGAGGGAAGTCTAGCTGTACTATTCGAGGAGCTAAAGGGTGTTAAATGGGATATAATAGGGCTCAGTGAGGTTAGGAGGACAGATGAGGCCTATACTGTGCTACAAAATGGGCACGTCCTTTGCTATCGGGGCTTGGCAGACAGAAGAGAACTGGGAGTGGGGTTCCTAATTCACAGAAACATAGCTGGCAACATAGAGGAATACTATAGCATTAATGAAAGGGTGGTAGGTATTGTAATTAAACTGAATAAAAGATACAAGATGAAGGTAGTACAGGCTTACGCGCCTACATCCAGCCATGATGACGCTTCAGTTGAAAGCTTCTATGAAGACGTGGAATCGGCAATGAGTAAGGTAAAAACACAGTATACTATAGTGATGGGCGACATTAATGCAAAGGTAGGGAAGAAGCAGGCTGGAGACCAGGCAGTAGGAGATTATGGCATCGGCACTAGAAAGGCCAGAGGAGAGCTACTAGTAGAATTCGCAGAACGCAATAATTTGCGGATTTTGAATACTTTCTACCGAAAACGAGAAAACCGCAAGTGGACATGGAGGAGCCCTAATGGCCAAAATAAGAACGAAATAAACTTTATAATGACTGCACACCCAGGAATCGTGCAGGATGTGGAAGTGGTTGGCAAGGTACGATGCAGTGACCATAGAATGGTACGGTCTCGAATTCGCCTAGACTTGAAGAAGGAACGACAGAAACTGATACGCAAGAAGCCAATCAATGAGCTATCACTGAGAGGGAAAGTACAGGAATTCAGAGTCTCGCTGCAGAACAGGTACTTGGCTCTTAGTGAGGAAACCAACCTTAGCGTAGATACAATGAATGATAATCTAACGAGTATCATTACGGAGTGTGCAGTGGAAGTTGGAGGCAGGGTAGTTAGACAGGACACTGGCAAGCTTTCCCAGGAAACGAAGAACCTAATTAAGAAGCGTCAAAGCATCAAAGTGTCAAGTACAACAGACAAAATAGAACTGGCAGAGCTTTCAAAGTTGATTAATAGGCGAAAAGTATGCGATGTAAGAAGGTATAACATGGAGAGAATTGAACACGCTCTGAAAAACGGAGGAAGCGTCAAAGCAGTGAAGAGGAAACTTGGGATAGGCAAAAGTTGGATGTATGCACTAAGGGACAAAGAAGGCAAAATAACTACCAATATGGATAGGATAGTTAAAATAGCGGAGGAGTCTTACAGAGATCTGTACAGTAGCCGAGACAACCACGACCTTAATACTATAAGAACTAGCCGTAACCCAGATGACACCCCACCAGTAATGATAGAAGAAGTCAGAAAAGCTTTGGAGAGCATGCAAAGAGGCAAAGCTGCTGGTGAGGATCAGGTAACATCAGATCTGCTGAAGGATGGAGGACAGATTGTGTTAGAAAAACTAGCCACCCTGTTTACGAGGTGTCTCCTGACGGGAAGGGTACCAGAGTCTTGGAAGAACGCTAACATCATCTTAATACATAAGAAAGGAGATGACAAGGACTTGAAGAATTACAGGCCGATCAGCTTGCTCTCTGTAGTATACAAGCTATTTACAAAGGTAATTGCTAACAGAGTAAGGAAAACATTAGAATTCAATCAACCAAAGGAACAAGCAGGATTTCGAACAGGCTACTCAACAATTGACCACATTCATACTATCAATCAGGTAATAGAGAAATGCTCAGAGTATAACCAACCACTATACATAGCCTTCATAGATTACGAGAAGGCGTTTGATTCAGTAGAAATATCGGCCGTCATGCAGACACTGCGGAATCAGGGCGTAGATGAAGTATATATAAACATTCTGGAAGAAATCTACAGGGGATCAACTGCTACCATAGTGCTTCATAAAGAAAGCAACAGAATACCAATCAAGAAGGGTGTAAGGCAGGGGGACACAATCTCCCCAATGCTATTTACCGCGTGCTTACAGGAGGTTTTCAGAAGCCTAGAATGGGAACAGTTAGGGATAAGAGCTAATGGAGAATACCTTAGTAACCTGCGCTTCACCGATGACATTGCATTGCTGAGTAACTCAGGGGACGAATTGCAACTCATGATTACGGAGTTAGACAAGGAGAGCAGAAAGGTGGGTCTTAAAATTAATCTGCAGAAAACGAAAGTAATGTACAACAACCTCGGAAAGGAGCAGCGCTTCGAGATAGATAATAGTGCACTTGAAGTTGTAAAACACTATGTCTACTTAGGGCAGGTAATAACCGCAGAGCCTAACCACGAGATTGAAGTAACTAGAAGAATAAGAATGGGGTGGAGTACATTCGGCAAGCACTCTCAAATTATGACAGGTAGATTGCCACTATCCCTCAAGAGGAAGGTACATAACAGCTGTATCTTGCCGGTACTTAGCTACGGAGCAGAAACCTGGAGACTTACAAAGAGGGTTCAGCTTAAATTGAGGACGACGCAGCGAGCAATGGAAAGAAAAATGGTAGGTGTAACCTTAAGAGACAAGAAGAGAGCAGAGTGGATTAGGGGACAAACGGGGGTTCAGGATATCATAGTTGAAATAAAGAAGAGGAAATGGACATGGGCCGGGCATGTAGCGCGTAGACAGGATAACCGCTGGTCATTAAGGGTAATTAACTGGATTCCCAGAGAAGGGAAGCGGGTTAGGGGGAGACAGAAGGTTAGGTGGACAGACGAGATTAAGAAGTTTGCGGGTATAAATTGGCAGCAGCAAGCACAGGACCGGGTTAACTGGCGGAACATGGGAGAGGCCTTTGTCCTGCAGTGGACGTAGTCAGGCTGATGATGATGATGAATCTTTGTACACAAGTCGATGGTGAATTCTAAAAGCACACAAAAGTAATGTGTTATAAAGTGAAAATTACTCCACCACATTACATGTTCGGTGACTACACTAGTGATCAGAAGGCTCTCAGCAAAGCGAAAGTAAACAAAGCAACAAACCATATGTTCTGTTTTCTGTCATCACTGACGTAGTTCGTTAGTCACCCCGGCGAAAACAGGGTCTAAAACAACACACACGCAGGCACTACCGTAAATATAAGACTGCAATTAATAGAGGCATACGAGACGAAATAAACTAAGCACAGTAGACAAAGTTCAGCAGCAGACGAAACGCCATCAGCTGTGCGTTCAGCTGCCTGGGTGTGACTGTTGCCAGAATTGAAGCGGGGGTTTCGCCAATTCTACCGACTCAAGGCTTAGGGAAACCAGGCTACCACACTAAATGCATGTATTTTGCTGTTGTCAATTTATAAAAAAGAATAACGAAGCAAAGTGTTCACTTATCACACAGAGATAGGCATTTCTTAACCACAATTATGAATACTCTCATTATCAGGCACTTTTCTCGGCACATGCAGTTCACTCAAGTGGAGGGAGCATATCCAAGGCCTCTCTTGGCGAAGGAAGTGTGGAGGAGCGTTCATGAAATGCAGCGGCTTCTTGAGTGGAGGAGCACGCTCCACCTTGACTTCGTCAAGTCGAGGGGAGCCCTTGAGTGAAGAAGCGTTTGTGAATACGGGCCTAAGATCATTGTGATGGTTTGTACAAAATTCAGCCTTTGGCAATGTTTCACATTATGTATTATGACGATTTTGGCCTCTCATCTCAGACAGTGGATGCAATGTTTGAGTTTTCTTGCAAGAGAACAGAGCATATTTGAAACGTCTGTTAATGAGGCAATACTGAAAGGTCCAATTAAATTTTTCTCAAGAAGCAAACAGTTCTAGCTTTGCATACCGAGGCGACACTGCCAGCCAGATTATCTGAATTAGGTTCGCCTTGACAATATTAGCGCAAAAAAACATGGGGATAAAAAAGAGCAACATAAGGATTACCATTCAGGATACCGACTCAGGCCGACAACTCTATTGCATACAAGGTTGTAAGATGGCAGTTTGGTGAAGCTGCTGAGTTTGTAGTTTGGGGTTACATTCCAGCAGCGGTGGCCATATTTCAATGTGAGAAATATACAATAATGTTTCATGCATAGATTTAGGCACATATTCAATAGCCACATGGAGTCATAAATGATTCAGTGTGTCACACAACAGCGGGTCTTATCATTAGGTCATTCGTTTCATTGACGTGTGAAGCCCCGAAATTTAGTTTGATAACTGTTAGCGCCTTACAGCAGTGGACTTACATGACGATGCCTCGGGCACTCGTTCCACAGTGTTGTTGGAGGCAGTTCTGTCACAGAGTGCAGCCTTTGCCATCATTAGATGCAGCGCTCGGGCGGCAGCCTCATTTGGCGACAAGCGCTGCAAACGACCGCTGGAAGCACAGTTCTCATTGGAGCAGCCCTCCCGACCACAGCCCTCCGTCAACTGGTAGTAATAACGTTCTATAAGTTCTTTTACTGCCAGCTTCCTGCAGGAGAGAAAGAAAGAAGGAGCACAGGCTTCAAGAAAATACTCTTGGGTACTTGGGAAAAATTTGTTGCCAGCCTATTTACTATTTTTCAATTTCTCTCAGGGCCTTACTCCTTTATAAAATTAAAAAAGGTCGAGGTAAAAGGTACCGTACTAACATAAACAATACAAACAATAATCACCACAAAAATTATCAAAAATTGTGCTCCAGTTGTACAGGTATTGACACATCATGCTTCTTATAGCAATTAGAAGGCATGAACGTATTTTAAGTGCAACAATGCTGAGTAGAAGGCGCTTTCAAAGCAAGCACGTAATGCAAACAAACTAGTTATGATGTCATTTCATCTTTAAGCATGTGTACCTATTTTATTAATATTGCCACATTGAACATGCAGCACCAAGAGAACAACGAAGAACACGCGCAGCCAGAGAAGAAGACGAGGTTCTCTTCCGATCAGTTTGCCAGTGTTCTGGCACAATTAAAGTGAGTTTCCTGTATTCGACTGCTGCTGTTTCTGCATTGTGACACTGGTGGAGGTGCTGGGTACATGTTCGGGACGCCTGACAACAGCCCCGCATCTAGTCCAGAAAGACTTCCGCGCATCGACACCCCCGTTCCCCGCAGCAGCCGGCGCCTCTTAGGCCTCAGCCCGGAGTTAAGTCCATTGCCAGAAAGCGTGACTGTGCCAGAAAGCATGACAGCGCCTGGAAGCACTGGCCCCAACATGACCAGCCCAAGCACGACACAGGTGACTGTTTTGAAGCCTCGACTTCCAGTTGACTTCCACGGAAACGCATATGAGGATGCACATGACTGGCTCGAGGAATTCGAGCACACAGCGAATGTTAACGGGTGGAACACCACACAGAAATTTGGCTACGTTTATTTTCTGCTTCAAGACGGAGCCCGAACATGGTTCACGAATCGCGTGTGGTCGTCTTGGGACGAGTTCCGGCAGAAGTTCCTCGACACGTTCGCGAGCACTGAAAGACGAGAAATCGCACAGCGTCTCCTCGAGTCACAAATTCAGAAACCAAATGAATCTGTTACGATGTTTGTTGAGGACAGGGCGCGGCTATTTCGTCGAGCAGATCCTAATATGCCCGAAGCCAAAAACGTTAGCCACCTCATGGGGGCGTTAAGGAGCAGCTCTTCGCTGGTCTCGTACGAAACCCGCCTACAAGTGTGGAGGAATTCTCCAAGGAGGCGACATCTATCGAACGCGCACTGCATCTACGTTATCGCCAGTATGACTGCCCAACCCACAGTGCACTGATCAGCGTGGCAGCCACGACAACAGCAACAACACCCGACGAAGGTTCCTTGTGCCAACTAATACGAGAAATCGTACAAGAAGAGGTCAAGAAGCTCGTCGCCAAACCGAACGACTGCGCGATCGCCTCAGTAATGGAAGTTGTACGCCAGGAGATCAGGCAAGCACTCTTGCTTCCTGAGCCGAAAACGAGCACTCCCAGGGCAAGCTATGCAGACGTAATCCGCCGACAGCCAGCGAACAAGCCGACACCACATCAGTACCACCAGCAACATCCGCCGACAGCACCTTGGTACTACAGAGAAACTTCGACGCCGAGGCGGCCACCACTTCGCAAAACTGACATCTGGCGTACCCCTGATCATAGGCCCCTGTGCTTTCACTGTGGGGAAGCAGGCCACATCGTTCGGTATTGCCCGTATCGCGCCGCAGGGTACCAAGGGTTTCCTTCCACTGTTCCTCGGCGCCATTTCAACGGAACACCTGACGTCGACACGAGTGTCATGACCCCCACGGGATGTTCCTCCTGGGTTTCGGTCACGCTCACCCTCTCCTGGGCGTTATTCTCCATTCTCTGGATGGAGCACCACTAACATGCCAAGAGGGAGATCTCCTAGTCCACGCCGGGGAAACTAAAAGCAGCGACCTCAGGGGGGAAGGTTGCGAATTCGTCGAAGTGCTCAAAATCCCCCAATACTGCCGAGCGAAGAGAGACACATTTTCAATGATTCGACGAAAGATGGGGTTGTTACCGCCGAGGTTGCAATTACGATTGACGGACATGACCATGGCATTGGTCGACACTGGCGCGGACTTCTCAATAATGAGTGAGAGTCTAGCAGACACGCTCAGGAAGGTTAGAATGGAATGGACAGGACCGCAGATTAGAGGAGCTGGAGGGCAGCTACTCACACCTACCGGAAAGTGCACCGCAAGAATGAAGATAGGGGATGCGTCCTTCGTGGCCACTTTTGTTATTCTTTCTGAGTGTTGCAAACAGGCAATCTTGGGGATGGATTTCTTGTGTGAATATGGTGCCATCATCAATATTTCGGACGGTGTACTGACCTTTTCAGCGGATCAAAGCGCAGTGCTACACTGAAAATTTCTACGAGTCATTGACGATGTGACCGTACCTCCGTTATCGCGGCGCCTTGTTTCAGTCACGTGCAGCGACCAAAATACTGGAGAAGGAATCGCTGAACAAGTATTGACGCTTCTACTCACTTGCGGTGTTGCAACTGCCAGAAGTATCGTCAATGTTGTGTGCGGTGAAGCAGAGGTTCTGTTGACGAGTTTTTCCAACGAGCGACGACACATTACCGAAGGCACTACAGTTGCCTACTTCGACGAGATCACCAAAATCCGCGAGTGCTGTGTAGTACAACAGGACGAGCCGCAAGCCACGTCAGCCCCACCACCTATTGACGTAAGCACGGATTTGTCACCAGCGCAGAGACAGCGTCTAGTAGATCTTCACCAGTTCAAAGACTATTTTTCATCGACCTCGAGGGTCAGTCAAACGCCACTGATGAAGCATCGGATAATAACGGAGGAGACGGCAAGGCCAATACGACAGAACCCATACCGCGTAGCACCGAAAGAGCGTGAAGCAATCAATCCAGGAACAAGTGAAGAAAATGCTCGATGATGATGTCATCCAGCCGTCAAGAAGTCCTTGGGCATCGCCGATAGTGCTGGTTAAAAAGAAAGACGGAAGCTTGCGATTTTGTGTCGACTACCGCAAGCTGAACCGTGTGACAAAGAAAGACGTATACCCATTACCGCGCATCGATGATTCACTCGACAGGCTGAGATATGCACGCTACTTTTCGTCAATGGACCTCAAAAGTGGGTATTGGCAAATTGAGGTCGACGAGCGAGATAGAGAAAAAACGGCTTTTGTAATGCCTGACGGGCTTTATGAATTTAAAGTCTTGCCATTCGGACTGTGCTCAGCCCCCGCAACATTTCAGAGACTGATCTATACCCTTCTGTCAGGCCTTAGGTGGCAGACATATCTGGTCTATCTGGACGACGTCATTGTTTTTTCAAAAACATTTGAGGAACACATGAGCAAGCTGCTATCGGTATTCAGGGCAGTAAGGTCTGCCGGCCTGACACTGAAACCCGAGAAGTGTCATTTCGGTTTCAAGGAGCTCGAATTTTTAGGCCATGTGGTGAGCCATGAAGGTGTTCGACCTGATCCCGATAAGATTGCGGCCGTCAGAAAATTTCCGGTGCCAAAAGACAAGAAAGCAGTCAGGCGTTTCCTTGGCCTATGCGCATACTACCGAAGGTTTATTGCCAATTTCTCCCACATAGCCTCGCCGTTAACACGACTCACAAGAGAAGACGTTTTGTTCACATGGGGCGACGATCAACAAGTGGCATTTGACGATCTCCGACAACGCCTGCAGACTCAGCCTGTGCTTGCTCACTTTGATGAGGATGCTCCTACCATGGTCCACACAGATGCCAGCAACGTGGGTTTAGGCGCTGTACTCGTCCAGTGGCAAGACTTAGCCGAGCGTGTGATCGCATATGCTAGTAGGACGCTTTCCCGCGCCGAGTCCAACTATTCCACAACGGAAAAAGAGTGCCTTGCTGTCGTATGGGCGGTTATGAAGTTTCGCCCGTACCTCTATGGTCGTTCCTTCCACGTAGTCAGCAACCATCATTCCCTCTGCTGGCTGACCAACTTGAAAGACCCGTCTGGTCGGCTCGCACGGTGGAGCTTACGCCTTCAAGGGTTTGATATGACGGTCGTGTATAAGTCCGGACGGCAGCACGCCAACGCCGATTGCTTATCAAGGTCACCGATAAAGCGCGACGATGGCACAGAAGATGACAGCATGGCGTTTGTAGGAGTCGTCGACACCACTACGATTTCATGCAAGCAGAAAGAAGACAGTGAGTTGCTTCCCCTTATTGAATTTTTGAATGGCCGGACAACAACCGTCCCTAGAAGATTTGCAAAAAGCCTGCCGTCATTCTGCCTTACGTAGTGGTGTTCTCTATAAGAAGAACTTTTCTTCCAGAGGAAGCACCAACCTACTTGTCGTTCCGATGTCACTCCTGTGAAGGAGATACTTTGTGCTTGCCACGATGAGCCAACGTCTGGTCATCTCGGATACACACGCACATTGGCCAGAATCTAACAGAAATACTACTGGCCAAGACTTCCAGCTATTGTGAAGCATTACGTGCGCACGTGCCTCGATTGCCAACGACGAAAATCGCCACCGTTAAAACCAGCTGGACTATTACAGCCAATTCAAGTGCCCACGGTACCTTTTGCCCAAATTGGAATGGATCTCCTTGGACCATATCCGACTTCCCATGCTGGCAACAAGTGGGTAATAGTCGCCACTGATTATCTTACGCGCTACGCGAAAACAAAGGCTTTGTCAAGTGGCACCGCCGTTGAAACCGCACGATTTTTCGTGGAAAATATTGTCCTGAGGCACGGTGCTCCAACAATCATATTAACGGATCGAGGTGCCGCTTTCACGGCCGCGCTCCTGAAGACAGTGCTTGAACTCAGTGGAACAGCCCATCGGAAAACCACTTCCTATCATCCACAAACCAACGGCTTAACAGAACGCCTCAACAAGACTATTGCCAACATGTTGAGTATGTACCTTGACGTAGATCACAAGAACTGGCACGACATTCTACCGTACATGACGTTCGCCTATAATACAGCGCAGCAAGAAACTACACGAAGAACGCCGTTCAGTCTCCTTCACGGCCGTGAAGTGACGACGATGCTTGATACCATGTTACAGCACGACTGCAATGACATCGATTTGGACGCTGCATCTTTTACCCAACGAGTAGAAGAAGCGAGGCAGCTTGCACGCGTCTGAATCACCCAGCAGCAAAATTACGATGCCCAACGTTATAATCTGCAACCCCAACATGTCATCTATCAAGCCGGCGACAAAGTCTGGGTATGGAGTCCTATCCGTCGCCGAAGACTGCCTGAAAAATTGCTGAGGAAGTATTTTGGCCCCTACACAGTTTTACAACGCCTGAGCGACGTTAATTACGTGGTCGTTCCTGACAGCCCCTCGACAACTCGCCAGCAAAAACCAGAAATCGTGCACGTTGTGCGAATGAAGCCCTACTTTTCGGACTGTTTTACACCATACATCTACTACACCGTCTTTTGTAGAAGAGCATCGGGACGCTGCTCTCTGGAGGGGGGCAAATGCCACATTGAATATGCAGCACCAAGAGAACAACGAAGAACACGCGCAGCGAGAGAAGAAGACGAGGTTCTCTTCCGATCAGTTTGCCAGTGTTCTGGCACAATTAAAGTGAGTTTCCTATATTCGACTGCTGCTGTTTCTGCATTGTGACAATATGACCGCTTCAGATGGATGACAATATGACCGCTTCAGATGGATGATCTGTACAGCGAGTTGGTTCGCAATCTATGTTAACTTACATTGTCACAACAAACCTTCTGAAATAAGTGACGGCAAGAGCCTTTCTATATTCCAAGAGCATAAGTAAAGCAAGCGAGTTTTTCTGAGCTGTAACTTAAGTGTGCACATAATGACACACACACAAAAGGTTTTCTTGCTGCCATATTAAACGCACTATTTGCATTCAAATGGCCTCTGCTAACTGAATGAAACGGAAATAGCTTTTCTTTGGGAATAAAAAGCCATGTGAGCATCAATGCTGCCAAGAAAATCTGCAGTGCTAATGCCATAGAAACAACTATTTCTGAAGACTCCCTCAATGTGCTTTTTGCAGACTACTAATTATAGAGAGGTCACTGTAATTGGGCAAGAGGATGACACGACATGGCTGATATCCCCTGAAAAATGTTTGTGCATTAAACACGAAGGCCCTAAAAAATGTCTAACAGGCGAGTTATCAGCTTTTTTGACAGCACACTGGTCAGTGCAGCACTGGCAAGCAGAAATTACTAAACTTCTTCGTAAAAGTGCATAAAATGTTATTCATATCGTGCAAATCTTATAAATCTCTCATTTCGTGTTTAATTTCTCGGTTTCAATGCATGCTGATTTGTTTGTTATTTTTCTTGACACTTATTTCGGGTAAATAAAGAGCTTTGGGTTTTTGTGGATCACTATTAAATGAACTTTTCATTAATCTTCAGAGACCCTTTGAGTTAATCTAATAAAATTCCACTGTAATTAAAAGCGAAGTGTGGGTGATATAAGTATATTCGAGTATACCTGAAAAAAATTTGACGCCTTGAAAGCTGAATACACCATGTTTATACAACATCTTCAACTAAATCCTGCACACCGTGACAACTTACATGGAAACTTTAACAATGCGAAGTTCAACTGTATTCGTGCTATGACTGAGTGAAACTATTACAAAACTACACAATTGAGACAGCTGCACGTGTTGCTCGCGCATTAAGAGCCATGACGTAGCAAAGTGTCACAACTAATATGTGCACGTAATGCTCAAAAATGATTACGCAATCGTGTCATTATTGCACCCGTCAAGATTGCTTGCTCGCAGGTAGAAAAGCAGACCATGGTGTTAAACGGCGTCTTCCCAAGACGGATACATTAGCGCGAGAGATATCAGAAGTAGAATGTTTGGGCTCGTGCTCAACTTCAGATGGGCCAACAACCATCACGTAACTCGTTACCTGTCTTTTCCTAACCCTACTCTTACCCCGAAGGCGCAAACTGAAGCACATACATGTTTCTAACCTTGGTTTCGTCGGTTATGCGCAAGCATGGTTTTGTGCGCGAGCTCCACTTCCTACAATCATTGGTAAGCAGCAATATCAGCTAGTACACATGACGACCAGGTAACCAACCATTAAACGACGCTTGGTGCTCTGGAACACCGTTAAGCCGTTATCAAGCGTTAACGACGTTAATTGTCAGGCGATATTGACGCACGATTGCGCTGGTTGCAAGGCACGAGCGCGCACGTCTCAGCGAGCACACTGAGAGGACGCCCGCGTTTCAGTACAAAATACGCCACTGCCATTTCGCGTCGAATGAACCGAGTTGTGGAAACGCGCTGCCTGCACGAGAAAGATGTTCTATGAGCTGGCTGGCCAATTCATGCGTAAAGTGACCAGCAAGATCTAAATAAAAACAGGTGGAAGGCTGAATCAACTGACTTGGAGTTGTCTTGGCCTCCGGGCGCTCGTCCTGTCTCCCTGTCTCGGCGCTTGTTTGAATTCATAAGTCCCCAGTTAGCAGTCGCCTCTCTTCAATTCATCAAGCCTGGTCCTTTTCAGAGCATCTGAACGACTAGCTCCGCAAAAATGCTGGTGATTTGCTTGCTTTTAATGACAGCGGTGCCTGATCCAGGGACGTTGCACGGCTGCTATTTGCTGCGCGCAAATTAAAAAAAAAAAAAAAACGAAAGTAAACCGCAAGTCCGCAAGCAACGGCGAGTGGCGCAGTTGCGTAATCGCTGCTCGCAACCAGCGTATCATTGTGCTGTAAGCTGTGTGGTAATAACCTAAGACCGCAAAAACATTGTTAGTAAATTTATGCTTAAAGCTTACTACTAATACATTTGTTATAGAAACTTAATAAAATACTTGCAGAGTCACACTATGGTGGCTAGAGGGGCAAGTGTGACAGGCGAGGGCAGAATGATGCACAAATTCACAATGAAAGATGGCGATCACACCAGGTAGCGCTACTTGCGCAATAGGTTCTTGTGGCGGCATTTACCAGCCTTGCATTATTATACTTTCAATTGTTTTAAGGCCTCTTCTTTTCTGTCTCTTTCCGTTTTATTATTCTCCTTTTCCCCCACCCCAAGTGTAGGGTAGCCAACCGAGCCAAGCTTGGTTAACCTCCCTGCCATCCCTCTCTATTTATCTCTCTCTCAATTGTTTTAAATAACCGCAAACACACCGCGCCTATGCTTTTTAAAACGCTACGTGTTTATTTCGCTAAGAGAAATGTGTTGCAAGTTCTGAGTGGCATTAAGCTATCAATAATAATAATAATAATAATAATAATAATAATAATAATAATAATAATAATAATAATAATAATAATAATAATAATAATAATAATAACGTGAAACGCTTTAAATTGCAACGGAACTGGCGTACCGCATGGAGCTGTTCAGCGCCTGTCCTGTGTTACAGTGGCTAGTATAGGTACCTTTGTCGTTATTATTGCGTTGCGTTGTTCTTGCGCTCCTTTTTACTGCGTTTATTATGCTTTAGGTGAGCGAAATGCACCGTGAAACTAACTTCGGAGTTTTTGCTTTCTTGGTGAAATGTAAAAGTGAGTATATTGGCTGAAGTGTTCTGCTTTTTTTTTTTTTAATGCGTAGCATATGCTGTGCTTCGATAGAGTTTTTTAAACGTCCACACCCCCCCTGCACAACTCTCTTCTTTCCTTCTTTCCACCACCTGCTTGCGCTCTCCTTGACACCTCGCAACGCCGATTGTAGTAGGGAGCCTGTAGCGCGAACGGAGCCGGCGCGCGACGAGCCACACTCCTTACCAGGCTGCAGAAACTAGGCGTTTTCTTCTTCTATCCACTAACACCACGACCAGTGTAACTGTTTAAAGCCCACTGCTTCGCATCTATGCATGGTTCCCTTTAGCGGGAGATGGTGCAGTTTTTTCTATCCTCCCTTACCGCCCACTTTCTTTTTTTTCGTAATAAAGTCTCTCATGTATAAAATAGCCTCCAGCTGCAACATCCTTATCTCCTGTTCCTCCAGCGTAAAATAGTCAAACCATTTGCATTTCATAGCAACTTTTCCTAGAGAAACTTCGACAGGAGATCGGGATGTTGCAGCTGGAGGCTATTTTATACATAGGAGACTTTATTTTAATTTAGTGATTGTTTTCTAGGACAATTTGATTACTGTATCCTGTCGCCTTTCTTTTTTCTGTCTACGTAGGTTGCGCCCTTAATATTTCTTCAGTATGAACCAACTAGCCCAACAACACGTACGTACGTTCTAGTAATTAAGCTGATTGTGTTAACTTTTGATATAGATGCAAAATAAGTAACCGCAAAAAAATATACGACGCGTTTATTTACGACACATTTGTTTACACTTCCCTACCACTTCGAGAAGTCAAATTACTTGCTCCTTCTAAGTTTCAAGTGTTTCTGGCGCGGACACTCCTATATTTGTTTTAAGATTTTGCCCAGATATATACTTGCATACACGTGAGCAGAAAAAGTAACTGGGCTACTTTAGTGGCCAGTTATTGCTGTGATTTTCGCAGCCAACTATATCCAGCTTGATTCCTGCCAAGAATTTCATAAGTCATGCATGTTGAAGGAGTGCATTTTTCTAGTAGAAAAAAAAAAGAAGAAAGTAAATGCATAATCCAAGGTTTTCGTGCATGTCTGCCAAATTTTCACAAGAATACAGCAAGCCTTCTCTGTCAAATGCACTCACTAACTCGCAGTTCCGGTGTAAAAATGGCCCCCGATTTCTTGGTGGCAAAAGCAGAAATGCACTCGATCATTACAAAAGCTTTTTTGTTGAACTTTTGGGTGGTCTCACAAAATTATAAAAAAGATAAGCAATTCAAATTCACTTAGAACTGTGCTAGATTCGGACAGTAGGTAATTCTACCACAATATTGTCAAATCTCCCGACAACGTTTTCCAGTTTGTCCTGGCTCAGAAGGGCGTTTAACATGTACTACCCGACTGGCATGGACAATTTGCTGACAGGACATGGTCAGCCACGGCGGGACTACAGTGGCGGCACGCGCGTGCGCCCCTCGCCCCTCTAGTCCAGCCATGGGTCAGCGAACTGACCATGCGCTGGTTCGCATAACGCAGGCCAGACAAGCAGCGAAGGCGAAGCATTCGAACGAGCCTAAGCATGCGTGGCGAGCACCTATTACTACACCAGCGCCCCTTGCGATGGCCAGAATTTTCACTGCGTTCAACGCGCACTATCCAGGTGTTCTCTGACTACCCCTTGACTAGTGCGAAAGTGTGGGCTTGAAGATCACGCTCAATTTTTCATACACGTTCGCATGTTTATGTTTTTGCGGTTGTGGGCCTCAGTGAGCCATTTCGTTAGTGGTTTGAGAGCGTGCTGAGCACTCTCGATTGTGACTGAGTTTTTCTTGTATGCTAGTTTGGCTTCATCTCTACTGAATACTGATGAGATGACCAATAGTGAGCCCTGATGTAGCGTTCTTTGGAGTTCTCTGCCGCACACAATCGTAAGGTAAGCTCCGGCCATAGTGTCGTTAGTTAAATGCGACACTTTTGTTTACAAAATAAGCGCGCTTATAAATAGCGGCACCAGCCACGAGTTTTTGGATGTCTTTATTTGGTTAGTTATCCAATGCTTTTGAGAAGTATGCGGATTTGTTGCTGGGGTTGTTAGCACGAGTGATAATCTCTCGTATTGAAGGTCAGCTGCTACGTGCTGCAAAACATGTTCCGCAGTTCAGACGTTACGTGTGCGCAACGGTTCGTTGTGAGTGGCGAGTTATCTTTGTCTTAGAAGACCTTAAAGCGCTCTGTTTTGTAGGACACGATGGCAAGTTCCTTTGGTGTCGACGAGTTATAGGCATCAAATTTTCTGCTATCGGAAAGAAAAGTGGGATCACTTCACCCAGCGCTACGCTGAGAAGATTCGTTCTTCCGCATAATCTCGTAGACGCTGGTTTTGCAGATCCGCACATACCACTTTCTCATTATGGGATGCGTAGTGTTTCTTCGTAGCTTGCGATTTAGTCGTGTGAAGTGTAGGGCTACTTGCGTGGCTCCAACTGTGAGCAGCTGTAGTACGTGTTCGTTCTTATCTATTTTGTTTGCAGTCTCGGATATGACGACCACAAGCCGCTTCGATGCCGTTTACCGAACGGCGTTACTATCGAAGTACTTCATCAAAGGTTGGGGAAAGCCTGACAATCTTAAAAGGTGAGGGGCCCTGCGATTCTTTAAGCTTTTCAGATGACGTCTAAAAACCTGGCCGTGCCGACTAGGAGCGGTCTTTATTTTTATTTGTTCGTTTCGCGTAAGCAGCTTTAGCATAGTAGACTGTGCAGCCTCAAGAAACTTCGCTGGCACAACAGCAGGGCCGCATCATGTTCATTGCTCTCGCTGACACATGATGTGCCCCCCATATATTCACACGTATCATTCTTTTGTCTAGGTTATTTGACTTCAAGAAGAAAATGACGGCTCGTGAAACATGCAACCAACTGGTACCTCACGACTATCCTGTCACGATTGACAAGGTTTGTATGGAACTCTTACATTACCTGGTTGCATGCTGTAGCCTCATACTTACCACGTTGCAGTTGCATTGTGAGCTTTTGGTTCTTGATTTAGTCTTCTGTGTATTGTGGAAGATTGAGTAACCAGATGGTATATAGTTGCATGGTAATAAAGAAAATGTGGTGTTTTGGTAACTCGAATAGTATGTTACATTTTTAGCAAGTAAGAAGCATCATTCACTGCTTGTAGTTTCTAGTCTGGCAATACATCTGTATTAATGTAAATATCCTATTCTTCTTGGCTAGGGGTTAATAGTTTCATCTATTCTGCACTTGTGTAGATTGAAGACCATTCAAACTACCGCATCTTAGAGGGCCACCTAGTTAGTCCGTTAGTTCAGTACCTGCCCGAGTGTGTGCCAAAGGAATCGCATAAAGCATGGTAAGTTGTGGCACGCCTATTTTCCTTAAGTCCAAACTCATACTCAGTGATGCTGAGGAGTGCCTTGTTTTGACCAGGTTCCAAGTCCTCTTGCCAAAAAATGGGTAACCGACCCACTGAGGACCTCTTTGTATACACCTTGCTGGAACAGGCGATCACGTGAGTAAGCTATGTCATCGTCAAAACATAGAAGCTGCTCATATTGACTGACTGGTCTAAAAATGGGCTCTCAAATTTGCACACACATAGAAAAAAGCTGCACAGTGTAACTGGTGATCATCTTGCGCTCTTCACATTGTTCAGTCACTGTGTACACACTATTACCAGCTCTGCCCAATCCTGCCTTCTATTGCAGTGATTGCTCATTGTGCCAGACGTTATTGTGCATGAATTCACTCATTCGTCCTTGCCGTTGCAAACTTCGTTATTATTTACATTAGACAGTGATGCAAATGACACAGCAGTACAGATTTTCTTGCTGACAACACAGGAAGGCCCCGATAAGTGATGCATCACCATTATCGAAAATCAACACATTCAGAGAGAATTTTAACAAATATTTTGCCATAGCTCCTACCTGTGATGCTGTATTTTAAATTTTTTTTCACCGATTTCTTCAGTATCTGTTTCACCATTGTGTCAAAACAGATGTCTTTTGTGTAGTCTTGAAGGAATACTAATGTGAAACATTAAATGAAGTTAGGAAAGTCTCTTTGTCATTAATTTTATTATCATAAGTTAATTATTAAAAGTGAAAATTAAGGTCAAAGTTTCATGTCTGAATTGCATGCTTGAACCCTACGAAAGAATTACAGGACACAAGCTAGAGAAGGAAACTAAAATAGACTCTCACAGACTGAGTGTCATATGTGTGGGTGTTATAGTTCTCTCCTTCCATAAAAACCAGTCTCTGCCGTTAGTATCAGATTCATGCTAGAGAATCGCTGTGTTGCTGCTTGTATCCGCCAGCTTTTTGCTCTTTTTCAGTATTTCTGGAGGAGAAGAACCCTAACGTGCAGGCCACTTTTAAAAGAAAACGGTGTGGCTTCTATAATACTGGAAAACCCTTTTTATATCCTTTTCTTGGCTACGATTATATTTTGCGTGACTTGACTACTGAAACCTCATTACATTGTTCCACCGACAAAAATTTGCAGTTTACATACATTTACGCTGGACATCATGTGCAGTATTCTTTTTTCTTCTCTATTCTTTTCAATATACACCAGATGCGAGCTCAATGTAGAGGTATTTTATGCAAATAAACTTCGCTGCATTGCTCTACTTTTTATAAGTGATGATGAGAAGCTAGTTTTAGAGGGTAAAATAAGAAAAGCTGGAATTTTGTGTCAAGTTGAAACATTTTTCCTTGGTTAAGCAAAATCAAAATGCATGTAAGGAAAAAATTACGGTGCTATTTTTGTTGCCTTCTTGTGCTAATGCAGAGGCATCGGTTATGAGCAGGCAGGAGTGCACTCGTCATACTTCTTAATTTACACGGTTGTCATTCTAGCTCTTGATGTAGTGTCCATCTTTTTCATTCTGTCGTTTGTTTGTTAATACATGACATTCGTAAAAAGAAAAGCCTTAACATGTGAAAAATGGTCTAAGAAAGCCAAAGGACCAAGTGTGAGTTTGCCTTCATTATATTATTAAAATGTACGATTTGTAAAGAATTGTCTCTGCATTATCATTTCTTCTATTAGATTTTAAAAAAATGTAATGGTGGGGGTGGGGTGATTCACTTCCTCTTTTTTCTAAACATTGTTGTGTAGCACCAACATTTTTTTTTCTGTCTATTCTTGCACCGCAAAGTTATTCTCGAAGTTTCACTAGTTCGTTTTGACCAGTTTTTTTTTTTTTTTCATCTTGTAGTGTATCCACTTTTCTGTTTCTCAGTTGATCAGGCTTATTCGAGGGCCAGAATTTGTTAGACTGGGGTGGTGCACCACCATATTGTTCTAGCCTAAAAGAGATAGCTCCCCTGCAAGCAGGTTCCTATGACTGCTCTCGCCTATAAGCCACACCTTTTTTTTCCTCGGTCATTGTTAGAAAATGAGGCTGCAGAGGTATGTCTTTTCATCACAAAAGGTCACCAGTGTGATGTCTTGGCACAGCTGATGTACAGTACACCAGCAGAACAGTATGCAATGGTTAAAGCGGGTATACACTTGTGCTGTTCTTAATCCCATTTCTGCACAGCAACTTTTGTAGCTTGTTACCTTGACAAAAAATGGCCGACACACAGGAAAATGCAGTATGTTTATGACCTTATTACTAAATTACAGAGAACAACTGCTTATTAGCAAGATCAGTTACTTGGATACATAGTATCAAGTGTGTACATATTTCTCTTTTAGTGTTGACAGAGGCTACTTGCGAGCTGCCGTGGTTACCCAAATAATGACTTGCCTAAATTAATTTCACATGTACACGAGTAAACTGGTTGTGTAAGTGCACAGGCTGCGAGGAAGCATGTTTTATTAGATTGCCAGGTAACAGTGCCCTAGAATATCGGCAGCGCTTGTGATCAGGTTCTCATACATTGTCAACTCTTGCGACTGAATACTGCAAGTGTAATTGCTAGAGGCAACGCACACTTTTTATAGCAGACAAATATTCTTTCTTGCAAGTGTTAGTTCATAGCGTCAATGTGCTGCAACACTCGCCATATCGTGAAATATTGTCAGCAACCAGCTAGCCTTTTCTTTGCTTGCTTTTGTAGTGTAGTCAGAGAATGCCAAAGTTCAGATGTCAATGTTTGACTCGGGAATGTAAAAGATCATCCACATCTAAGGTGAACAACTCATTCATATTTAAAACCTCGCTGATGCTTAATAGATAATTTAGGAAAAAACAGTGTCATGTTTATCTAAACCATGATTAGGTGTCATATAGTGGACATTTATCCTGCAAAGTAGAATAAATGTTCTAGTTTTACTGGCTTGAGTGCTACACTCAGAAAGTCACAATACGATGTACCTGTTGTCTCTATTCAAACTGGGAAATCTTCACTACATGTACTCCATGGCCAACAGACGTCATTTGCCAGCCAACGTAATTAGTGTTCTTTCGCTTGGTTCAAAGTTTGCCCTGGCTCCCAAAGAGTCAAGGCCAGAACAGCTTTCTTTTGTACGTCAGGTTTCACATCAAGCCTCTGCTGATGAGAGTGCACATTGCCATTCGGCAGGTGTTAAGGTTGACTGCTTGTCGGCATTGTTTGTGTTCCTTCCATCCGTTGCATATTTTTGCATATAAATATGTACCAACAAGGCCAACTGGCCAGTTTAATCAAGTTCATTTCCTGGTACTAAGGGCTCTTTCTTCTCTTCTAATCTGTCTGACCTATGCACCATTGTTTCGCTCATTGCTGTCACATTATGCCAGGCACGAGAACTTTCCTGTTGCCTCCACACCAAGCGACTACTTCAGAACGTCAGAGTGCTTTTGATTTCTAATAAGATATTCACCTTAAATGTAGTCAACCCTGTACATCCACATCTTGAAAGGTTGCACTAGCTGCAACAGACACTTGCGAGTTATTACTGCTTCCTGTATAATTTATTGAATGATATGCTGAACAGTTATCACAATTTCACATCCAGTAATGTCTTTATGGAACACCACTTTATTCATGATGAGTCGTTAAAAGAACCAGCCTTTCTTTAACAATTAACACGGTGTATTTCAGGCGGTCAAACCTGCACTGTGTGTCTGACATCTTTGTCATGGGTGGCTGCCTTGTGCTTGAATCGATGGCACTGCTTCACTGGTGTGAACGTGAGGGATTTGGACCGCTTGGCATCACAGGCATCTCTATGGGTGGCCATGTGAGTCCTCCTCCCAGTGTTTTTGTCATTTCATTTCAGAAACTATCTGCAGCACTTCCTTATCATTTATAAGTTTCTGACAAATTTTTACGTCTGACATGTAACGGGGCACGAGACACTAGAAGAATGGAACAGATGCTGGACTTCCAACTATTGTTGATTATGAAATGCATCTAAATGATCGCCTCATTTG